TATTTTTTGATAATGCATCCCCAGACATTAGCATTAGTATGTCCAATCTCCAAGGAAACATGTCTTCCTCCTATAAGAAATCAGCTGGTTTCAAAGAGCAGCTCCAATATTAGAAATTTGAAGTTAAATATTTTGAGGCCATAAACAAAAATACATCATTTCAAAACACATATCGTTAATTCACACCTAGGGTATGTTACATTGTAATATTTTTATTTTATTTTTTGCGGCAAAGAGGTGATTTTTGAAACTATAAACATTTCAATATATTTAATAACACATATGATAGAGACAGAACTACATTTCACAGCTAGTCTACTTATGCCTACACCATAAATTCTTGTGTTTGCCAAGGAGTTGAATTACAAACATGTTCACAATGAGCTAGATTTAAAATCTGTTTCATCAAACATATTCTTTTATCTAAAAATAGTTCACCATGCGAAGACCAGAGAAACCAGACAGCACAGATAGTAAATCATTAAGAAATAAATTATTGATCCCCTAAAATATATATGTATGCATAACTCAAAGGTAATTTGGAGTACATTATATTGGGCTTTACTCAACGCTAATATAAAATCTCACCTCTTCTACAACAGAATATATATTTCTTTTATATGAGATCAGTTTTTATTCATACAAAGTGTTTGAATAACAACTCAAATTGACATTTGAGGTTTTATTTTAGCCAATTTTCAAAGTCCTCACAAGCACGGGCATTTGATAATGCTACTTAATGATGCTTTGAAGTCATAGAATGAGGATTTTTAAAATAAGAATAGATGGGCCTGATTCTGCTAAGAGATGCCATTCAAAGTGAGAAATAATACATGGTTAGGCAGCTCAATCTCCCTCACTGAGGTCGTTTTCTGTAAAAGAGTCTGAAGGAAAATTAACAGAGTCCATTTACTAAGAAGAGACTAGAGCAAAAGAGCAGACAATAATGGCTCTACGTACAATGGCTAAAAGAAAGCATACCTTTCTCTTTCTCCTTTGGTGATATCATATAAGTGGTTGGCACCTCCATCTGCACAGGCTCTTAAAAGCGCTTCAAATAGAAGAACAAAAATCATTTCAATACAGGAAGCATAGAGCAATATCATTCAAAGGATGAACACAGGAAGCAGGCACTCAGACACATGCATAGTCACGCTAACCTTGAATCACTTCACATTCAGCTGTTGACAATGCTGGTGAGAAAAATGATTCTATGTACCACGAGACAAGCAAGACAGAATCGCCCTGAGACCAAGTTTATTTCCTTGTGGCATCATTTTTACTCACTCTGATTAAATAAAGGAGAAGATTGTATATGGTGGTAGCATGCCTTGGCTATGTCTTAAAACTTGTTTTTCCTCTTTACAACAGAAGGTAGGCCGCAGGCTCAAGGACAGGCAACGAGATACAGTTATCAGTGTGTTCTCTCCTTTTATTAATTTTTATAGGTACTTTCTACTTATGGCAGGTATGATTGGTTCCATCGTGTGCTTTAGAAGTTTCCTTTTAAAAATAAGTCATAGGCATAATCTTATTTTAAAATATAAATAAATAATAAGCTAGATGATACGTGAACAATGT